TGGCAGGTGTGTTTAACGTAAGGTATTGATATTGATTAAAAAAGCTGATTAATCTGTATTCGGCTAAACCACCAGTTAATGCTATGAGTAAATATTTGCAATTTGCCAATAAATACTAACTTTCACAGCTACTTTGCCCTTGACGCCAAATGGGATCTAATTCGGCGGATAATCGAGACTTGATATTCTCTTGTATTAACGTTTAACATACCTTATTATTTGATGAGATGATCCCGAATCAATAATAAAGTCCACGTTAGTCCATCATCTTCTTTACATCAGAGAGAGAGAGAGAGAGAGAGAGAGAGAGAGAGAGAGAGAGAGAGAGAGACTTTCTAAAGTACTTGCTATCAAAGCCCACAGTCATTCATGATTTATATCAAGGTACTTTCAAGTTCTCAGCAAGATTTCTTCAAACGTCATTTACTCCGGTTGTTAGGTACGCGATGTATCCCATAGATCCCTATGTAATCACGTTTTTAAAGGTACAAGGCTTACAATTTGTATTTTTTTCTTTATCAAAGTATCTTGTAAATGATTTAATACTGGCCATATTGGCTATATAATTTGAACTTCTAATTAATGTATTTTTTTAAATATCCAGGAACATAAGCTTCATCTACCGACAATTAAATACCACGACCATGACACGTTAAACCGCTGTCTCGCTAAAACGCCTCACTCCTATCCTCTCGTGACTAATGCACATATCGTTAATAATTGAATAATCTACATACATTATTCCATTTTTTTATTTAACTTTATCATAAATGTGATGTGTTTGCCGAATACATTAATAACTTTCATCAATTCACAAAAACATGAATGTCATAGAATGATTGTCAAGGGACTTTCAACTTATGAATATAGAGTTTGTAAGCAAGAATTTCTTCTAACGTTTACACTGGTTGTTAGGCACACAGTTTATCTACGGCTCAGCTACTTAGCCATAGTATAATCAATAAAATGTGTCATAATAATAATAATAATATCAAAATATCTGAAATAAATTATGTCATATTGGCTATGTTGGGTCGCCGATATATACTTACAAAATTTAAGTTAAAAGGTTTTGACAATCTTCAGCAAACCCTTAATTAATCTATCGATTTCTCTCCTTAACGTTATTACTTTCAACACGTTGAAGCTAGCACATGTCTGATTTCTGATGCTTCGTCCACGGAGACGCTGCTTTGGCCCATGTCGTTGACGATTGTGCCATTACAGTTGTTATGTTTTATATATTAAATAACATACCCTCAACTGATATGGTTTGATAGGGTACAGAGTTGCGTCCCTTAGTCGTGTCAAGAACCCCAGGCCTGCTTCGTCTGTCAGCTGTCGTGCTTGTGAGAGGTCGGAGTCTATGGCCTTGTGGATTTATTGTTTGGTCGTGATTTGTTAATTTACGTAAAATGGACTACAGCGTAGGACAAAAGAAAGTATACACTTAAAAATTGGATATGACCAAAAACTTACAAATGTTAACACGTTACAGGCTGTAAACAGTCGCCGTTACACTGCAAACGCAAGGTCCAAAACACAACTATGATACCCGTTTCAAATACATCACGATTGAAAAAAAACATTTCTTGTTTGTTCATTTAAAAAAAAATGGGCGTACGTTTTCTTTTGTCCGGCAGTTTATTTGGAATTAATAATCCAAAACTTTTTCTCATGTTTTTTTCTGTTACATCGTTGCTTGGGGCAACGTGACATCACGAACCGACAATACCGCGTTCGTAACTATATAAATACCTCGACCCTGACATGTTAAACCGCGGTCTGGCTATAACGCCTCATTCGTATCCTCCAGTGATTAAGAGGGTACGGGGGGCCCAGTCGTCTAAGGCGCCGCGATTCGTTGTGCAGAGTTGCGTCCCTTGGGCACGCCAGAACACCCGTCGTTTTTAGTGTGTCAACCTTACGTCACAGTAAGATTGAAATGACGTGAACAATGTCGCTCGGTGACGTTAACGATACACTAGTGCATGTGAAGTGATATTAGCACCAGTAAACATACGATTTTTATGAACTCGGTTTTTCCAAACTCTGTGTGTAACAAAATCGTTTACCCCGTTCACATGCGCCTCTATACATATTTGTGTATGTGTGCATACGTGTGAAGATATACATCCCTGAGTATACTTGTCATGTGAACGCGTTTACTCATGTGTGTATATTTACACCAGGAGCAAATTTGCATCATGTCTGGAGCAGGTGCAAATGTAAATGTAAATTTGCACTGTGTGTATATATTGCAATGTGAACGTTTATGTTAACGTAAGAGGATGATCTAATTAATCTGTTCTTTTGCACTCACCAAACAAATTGTCAACAGTTGCCAACTTTTATGCGTATATACAGAGTTGAATGGACGGTGTTTTCTTTTGGTTTCAAGGAGTCAACTCTTTGTGTACAAATTAAATCAAACACGTGTTGCTGCACGCGACATTTTCGGTGAAGTAACTCTCTTCTCATTCAACTTGGATTGACAAACAACCTGTTTACATACTGTATTTACACACCTAAGTTGATTTTCACGTATGTATAGTTACACAGGTGAAAAATTACTTACGTTAGTAAATGTTGTGCATGTGAGCGGGGTAATAGACTAACAGATGCCGTAAATATGTGATGCTGTACATTTCATTCATAAATACACGCCTAAGTCAAATGTAAAGGCGTAAGTTATTTGTCCATTGTCACCTTGGTATTGTGACGTCATAGTTCTCCTAAATGTCACGTAACTATATGTTACTACTTCATGTCCGTTATTCAGCTATGGCCTGATGAGACTCGTACGTGGTACGAGTTGAAAGCGCTAGCCAATTAAAACTGTGTTCAATCTTACTCCACTTATTTAATTACTACTATTTATATATATCAATATAGCTGGTTTAGGAAAACTAACGAGAACGTGAGAAACTGACTTATATTATTGATGCTTATACAATGAATATCCGATAGAACGATATGTATATTTAAATGAATAAGATCCATCCAACGACAGGTGCAACTGTCAAGTTTGGGTATCGATTATTACTGAGAGAATATATTTCATCCATAAAGATGCGTTATTATTCGATTTCAAATTCACGTTGCTGGCTAATGGCGATCTTTGCGTCACTGGATCTTCGACCATTAACTATGTATTGAAGATTTATGCTGCGTAGACGGGATTTTATACATACATTTGTATTGTTCAACAAATCTTTTGCTGGAACTACGATCATGCTTGTTTAATCATGGAACCTATACGTGTCTATGGCATGGAGAGATCGGTTATTTATTATCAACGATCGCCACATCCTACCACGATATGTAGTTCCATATGTATGTACAATGTACAATGAGCGAGTGAGTGAGTATGGTTTTACGCCGCTTTTAGCAATTCCAGCAATATCAAGGCTTGGGGACACCAGAAATTGGCTCCACACATTGTACCCATGTTGGGAATCGACCAGGGTCAACAAATAAGTTCATTCAGTCACACAATTGTCAATTATAGCATTATAAAAAGCCGAACCTCCGTAGTCCAACCGTCTTCAATCAGGACACCTTCACATAGAGGACATAATCTCCTCAGTACAGTGGACACCTATCAATATGGACTTTTATAGAGAACTCTTTCAGGATATCGAAGAGGTTCTATAAAACACACAACGCACATATTGGCATATTATAGATTAAGGACGGTCTTCTGGTCAGCATCGTGACAGAGTGAGTATTGTTTTACGCCGCTTTTTGTCATATTCCAGCAATATCACGGCGGGGGACACTTGAAATGGTACATGCACCCATGTGGGGAATCGAACCCTGGTCTTCGGCGTGACGAGCCAACGCTTTAACCACTGGGCTACCCCAGCGCCCCTCATCGTGATAGAGCTGGTACATACAAATATCCAACTAGCACCCGTTACCCGTCAGAATCGCGGTGTATAGATTTCACAATGTACCAGGCAAAATGGCCAATACATAGAATTAACGATCGTCCTTTCAAGAGGTACTTTTATGATAATGTTTGATTCAACACATTCGCAAGAGAACATATATATCTGTTACATTTTCTTTGTGTGAATTCACACAATTTTCGAAGTGACTTGGCTATGTTTGTAACGTAAAAGTCTCTTGGCTATGTTGTGGTCGACAGTGCATGAACGATTATTGTACCGTATCTCTAATCAGTTCGATATACCGGGAACTTTACCTTCCTGGAAAAGTTTTATTTCTTTTTAACTAATCACATATGAACCATCTGTATGTGAAGCCCGGAAACACATGTGTAATATACATCTCAGACATAACGACGTTCAACTGTAGTTAACATCAGGCAGCAACAAGCGCCTGAACGCGACGCGTCCGATCAGACCCAAGACTGATACGAGAAAACGTTGGTGCGCTTGTATAAACGGCTTGGGAGAAATATGAATAGATGCTTTATGTTTAACCTTCATAAAGAGTCTAGTCATACATCCACAATTGTTCTCTGTCTCACCGCGAAGATCAACACGTTCCGGTGACTGATTATTTTCTTCAAACATAATTGTATACAGGCCCGAAGAAATGGGGGGGGGGGGGGGGGGGGGTTCAAAATACAAATAACTTGTTATACCGTGTGAAACATTGGGCTCAGGATTAAACCCCCACCTTATCCCACCCCACCCCATTGAAATTCCTTCCTACAAGCCTGCATGGTTTAGGTATAGACACGAATCATGTGCACGTCATGCCTGGAGGACGAATGTGCAGGGTCTACTTATAGACTTCTAATTGACAGTATTTCACTCAGTGATAGGCCGAAATGTCAGACCTCTATTTGGCATTTCCCTATGACATATCCATATAATTATATATACTGCAATTGTAAATAATTGGTTTACATTCCAATACATTAACAGATAGCGCACAATGACAATTACTCTTACGATTCAAACTGGAAGGATGACTTGTATAGATTAGAGGAGTAGCAGTCCTGCATATTCGGGCTATATATTTACCTGTTCGCAGGAACAAGTTATTTGCAAACTGGCCCAGTGCCACTGGAGCGAACACCCCAGCCAGCGTATCCAGGTTGCGTCGGAACCCAAACACGTTGTATGTAGCATCGTAGTGATCATCAAATGTGCCGAAGAGAGAGGAAAAGAGTCGTTTGTACCAGCGTCTAGGGGGTAAGAGGGGTGCGTTTTCGTTGCCACCATCTCCCGGTACCCCATTAATCTGTAGGCTCTCCAGGTGAATAAAATTCCTGTTTGGGGTATCCTCTCCAAGAATTCGTTGCGAACCATATCCGTTCCTCATAATTCAGTGCTGCAGTTTCCGACAATGCTCTCATGTGTAGTTAGGTCCTGAGCTGGGGACAAGCTGTCGCGGTAAGTTAAACAACAACGCGGCACTGTGGTCGTGTATAGTTGATATGCTTATCACCAACCAGTATAACTGTCCGACACTGGCTCGTGGAACTACACTCGTCGCTCGCGAAGCTTGTATCGTCGCAGAAGGACCGCCCTGTGAATCATAGCACTAGCGCACTCGCTCGGCCACTACTAAGATCAGCTGTTCGTGTACAGCGCCATGCATTACAGGCGAACAGCTGTCGCCGTGCTTATCCTGGGCTGAATGAATTGTGAAGGATTATCGTTTGTGAAACTTCATTAGGCGTTTTTCACTGTTTCATTAAAATATTATATTTTCATCCTTTATAAGTATATAGTATACAGTGCTTTTGACCAGGGCTGGGACGAGTCCAGATTTACTACCCGGGTACCCGATCCCCTATTACCCGGCCCTACCGGAGTACCCACTGCAGGTCTCAAGAGTTGGGAACAAAATGTCTGATTGGGAATTGTTTTATCGCAGCCCTGGCCAAAATTATTTAGATACATGTATCAAACGATCAGTACACTGAAGTTGACTGAAGCTTTATCTTTACTCAAACATATACAAGTCAAAAGGAATGTGTACATCGTCAGAAAAAAATGTGACATTAGCGACTTGTAGTGTAACCACTGAGCTATGGTGAGTTTTTGTCAAAACAAAATATCACGTGACTAACCACGGGTCCGGGTAGTCCTGTGGGTACCCGGGTCCTACTCAGGACCCACCTGACCCGAGTACCCGAGTGACCCGCCCCAGCCCTACTTTTGACCGTGCATCATGACTTCATATTCGTCAGTTTTGTACAACGAGCTCTCTTGATGCGTCATACATGCTTCGTTATAAGGCCACCGTGTGGCAGAATTGCCTTGTTTAATGATAGTATGGAAGCACCTTTTGAAAAAGCACGGTTTTCTATTATGACCAAATTAGACACAAGATTATAAAAAAAATATAATATGAAGGATTAGTGGTGTGTATTCATGAAAGAGGCTACTTCCATTTGAATGATAATTTGAATATGGTATTTACATGTCATTTCTTCATATCAAAGCTATTAAAATCTATCACTGTATTTAGTAGAGATATCATAATAATCCTGCTATTTGTTACATGAAATGAATTAGTTCGTGTATCTTTGTTTCTCAGTTACCGGACAAAAATAATTCAGTTTCCAGTGTGTTGTCCTGTATTGATTGCAGCGTTAGAACAGCATGTGATATAATCTCCCCAAGAACAGCGACGACGGTAATGATGACGTCAAGACAACGACACCAACGTCCGCGAATACAAGACGTTCGTTATATAATCAAGACTCTTTTTAGAACACGATCATCACGTTATGCCTACCGTGGTGAGCAGAGAGCCCGTGTCTCCATGTGTTTCACCCAGACACATCTCAACACCGCTGACCCTGTTTAAGAGCAACTTCATAGAACCTCACCCTGGTATCACCCCGTCACGGGTGTGGGTGGGTGGGTGGTTGGTGGGTGGGGGGTAATGTACTTGTATCAGCTGTAACCCTTTCGCGTGATAATCATACAACATGGGTACTCAACAGTTGGATGACACTACTGGTCTGTTACATTACACTTGTACATACAAAACCTCGTTAAGCTGGACACCTTGGTTTCCGACCACTTCTAATGGGCATGTCAGCGTGTCTCGCGGCAGGAGCTGCGCTTACCATTAGAGATCGGAACTATTTTGGGGATTGATTTCATCTGAGTTTACATATCAACTCTAAATGAGGAATATACGTTTTAGTTGAGTAGTCGGAGTGAGTGAGTGAGTTTAATTTGACGCGAAGTGATGGCTGTCTTCACGTCTTACCACTTTGGTGAAACCCACGAGCACGGGTATGGTGCTGACTAACCTGGAAACATAATCGGGGCGAACCGGGATTCGAACCCATGATCATAGGTATCTGGTATGCCCATGGGACGCAACTCTGCACATCGAATTGCGGCGCCTCTGACGACTGGGCCACCCATGCGCTCTATTGTAATATGAACACCAATAGAAATATCACGAAACCGCCAGATGTAGGTTCACACCAGTCTAACACACGGGTTTGAAATGTACGACAAATTTCCCTCTGAGAGCAAACAAGCCAGGTGACGTCTTTCTCAGCAATTTATATTGACAGGGTTCAAAAGGTCTCCTAAATGTACGAAAACGATCTACATATTAAAGGTGCACTGACAGTATCCTGGATTGCCATTTGAAATTGTAGATCTTATTTTCTAAAACTGATCTTTCAAAATGTAGAATGAACGCTGCCCATTTTTGAAAATATTTACTTTCTACGTGTTAATACAGTATTTATATATATGTACATACAGTTAGATACGTCACTCTCGAAACTGTATATGCTTCAATCTTACATGTTTGTTTGGTCTTGCAAGTTATATGTGGAATGTAAAGTGGTACAAAGTATAGGTGTGAAACCAGTGACCGAGTTGAAGAACTGTCTGACATATCAGGATGTTTCAGTGTTATGTGGGAGGAAAGCCGAAAGGCGTAGACGTCGTATAAATGTTAACTACATCTTAGCGAAACCCTCGCGTCTGGTGACGAAACAAAGACCGTCATTGGGATGAAGCTTTTAACCAGAGGATCCAGGCTCGACAAAGGTGCGCAACTCTGGACAACGAATTTCCGTTGTACTATCATCGGTGAGTTTAAACTTCACGTCGCATCGGCATTATTTCAGTCATATTAACGACGAGTCGTCATTTAAGAGAACAACGCTTATTACAATCAGGTTATGAATACACTCTTCAAAAAAAGAAACGCAAAGGTAGTATGTAGTTCATTGAACCTGACTACACAAAAAATCCAGTATATAAACTGGATATATGTTTATCCTACACCAGGAGATCTGACTTGGTTGTGGCTCAGGGAAATTTGACAGCAAATCGCTACATGAATCAATTGACCGCCAGAGCGAGCTGTTTCAACAGGACAACGCTCCACCGCACACAGGTCGTGTCACGGTAGCCTATCTTCATAATGCCAACATCAACGCCTTGCCCTGGCCGTCGAGATCTCCAGATCTCCCAATCGAACACCTCTGGGATGAACTCGATCGACGTGTACGTCAACGTCAGAACACGCCGCAGACACTCCCACAACTGGCCAATGCGTTACAAGCAGAATGGCGCAGAATTCCAGAGGACAGAATTCGTACACTTATCCAGTCAGTGCCGAGGAGATGAAGAGCCGTGATTGCTGCCCGGGGCGATCACACGAGATAATGAGTTCAGCGCAATCTTGTGGCCTTATGTGACATGACAATGAACAGTTTTCAATTGCTCGTACAACGACAACATGTTACTATCGAGCTCCTAATTTTCATATGTGTATCTATTATATCAAATTAAATATATCGACTTTATTAGGTACAATACATTTACTAAAAATCTACATGTGCGTTTCTTTTTTTTGAAGAGTATAGATCAGGGAAACCATTTATTCCAAAGAGAATTCCCACACAATAACTGAAAAGGATGCAGTACATATTAATCCCCTCGACTAACAACAGTAATCTGCCGGTGCCATATTTGGTTGGTAAATGTTTCTGAAAATTATGCCTTTCATGATAATTCGGCATAAAGTCTAAATCTGAGTATCTTACCTGTTCTGAGAAACAACATGGTACCAAACTGCCCCAACGCCACAGGTGCCACCACGCCCGACAGTGTTCCAACGCGTTGTTTGAATATGGTCTTATTAGACCTTGGGTCTAACAGTGTCTCATAGGCCCCACAGAAGAAGGTTTTCAGCCAGCGTAGAAGTCGCCTGTGGGGCGGAGTTGGCAGGTCGTCGTCTCCGTTGCGTTCATTATCCAGAATAAAACTCTCCAAGCTGATGTAGCTGGAATAATCCCGTTTGTACTTCAGTCCCGGGTCTAGCACATGCCTCGACACGTTGGTCTTTGGGATCTTGAACACCTCCTTCATTTCCGACGACAACGACGACGATAATGTTAAGCACAAGGCAGTGTTTAACGTATTTTCACAAGTCGTTTCAAGGATAAAAATAGATTCTAAAGCTGATCCTTTTTATCTAATGACGAAGAGCTTAGATTTTAAATGCTCGTACGTTAACCAAACCAACATCGCCTTTGTAAATATTAGTTATCACATCTGTTTCAAAGATGAGCCCTACTCACGAATTATCCGTCAATGACTGAAGACAAGACGACGCTTCTATAATAGCTGTGCACCAGTGACGGAATAGGCTCGCACAGGGAATACAGTTAAAATGATGCTCTTCGGTTATTGATTATCCACAACAAGACGATAGTAATCGACATGTCTGGCCCCGAATCAGAATATGACAATAAAGTGATGACACCTTTATGACGACTCCATTAGATGTATCGTGATTTAGCCTAGGGCTGTTACTATTCACCCCCACTTCCCAGTCGACGTTCCTGGCGGCGTTTTCCGCCATCTTCTGCACGTCGCGTCATATATCTGTCACGTGCCTGTCAGTCATCGGTCTTTGTAACTGGTCGGCAGATATACTCATCAACCTGTATTTAATCCCCTGTGTCAATTGTAATGCGACGTTGGATAGTTTATATTTGGCTTTGAAGTTTGTTTTTTTATCTTCAATTTTCATTTGATCACGGGGGTAAAATTAACAAGGGAGTGAGTTAAGATTTCACGTCACATCGTCAATGTTTGAGCCACATCGTGACGAAATTATCAAGGGAGTGAGTTAAGATTTCACGTAACATCGTCAATGTTTGAGCCACATCGTGACGAAATTACCAAGGGAACCCACACAAATCTGCTTTACTTTTGCGTTATAAACCTACTGCCACTTTTGCCTTTATTATTGTCGATGTCTTGCTATCTCATAGTAACCCTGTGAGAGGTACTACTTTCATGCTGCATCTAATGTTGATTTTATTGGTTATAGGTCACATTTCATTTACCACGGGAATGCCATGACGGGAATCGAACCTGCAACCTCAAGTATTAGTATTGTAACCCCACTGTTTTGCCACCGAGTCACCGGGGCAGGTAATGAAAAGGTACTCAATCTTACATGTCATGACTCTCGCCAGCTGTCATCGAAATCGTTTTATACCGCGCCTACTGTATTGTTTCACTATAAGGTTCGTGTTCTGATTAATTCTGCTATTTCTTGCATTTAGACGCT